TTAGTGCCCAAATTTTTTGTCATTGCTCACCCACTCTCAAAACTAACAAGTAAGAATGTTGCCTATGCGTGGTGTGAGAAATATGAGACTGCGTTCCAAGCCTTGAAAGAGGCATTGGTAAGGCATCCTGTGCTCCGCATTGCTGATCCCAACCTCACATTCGTAGTTACTACGGACGCGAGCCAGTTTTGGATTGGTGGAGTGCTGCAACAAGATGATGGTGATGGCCTGCGTCCGCTCGAATATTACAGCAAACGCATGCCCAGCCACAAGGTAGCTACTTCCACATATATGCGCGAGCTCTACGCCCTGCGCGAGGCGCTCACACATTGGAAGCACTACCTCTTGGGTCATCACTTCAAGGTCTACTCAGATCATCAGACCTTGCTATGGATCAAGACACAAACTGATCTCTCTCCTACAATGACCCGCTGGTTGCATGACATTGATGTTTATAATTTTGAGTTGAAACACAAGAAAGGTTGTTATAACCGGGTTGTTGATGCCCTGTCCCGCCATCCTGAATTTTTGACTTGCCTTGTGGATTCGTATGACCTCCGAAGAAAACTGAAGGAGGATCTGATCGAACACACCGCCAAGGATCCGGACCTTAGTCCCATCCTTGAGCAGCTCAAGGCTGACCCTAACAGTCAGCCTGATTTTCATGAGTGCGAGGGTCTTATGTTCCGCCGGTATGGGAAATTTGATTGTTTGTGTGTACCCAACCATGCGCCTTTCCGAGCTCATTTCTTGGATTTGGCACATGGTCGGAGTGGACATTTCGGCTTTGAGAAGACTTATGGAAATCTTCTCCAACAGTTTGATTGGCCAGGAATGAAAGGATCTGCTCAGAAATTCATCGTTGAATGTCATGTCAAAGAACCAAGGTTCACAGGCATAAGCCTTATGGCCTGCTGAGACCCCTCCCCATTCCTGATGGACCCGGTGAGTCGATTTCCATCGACTTCACGGACATGGGAAAGGTGAGTGAAGCAGGGAATTCACAAGTCATGGTCATAGTGGATCGTTTCTCCAAATTTCTGAATCTGATTCCTTTTCCTCCCCATGCCCCAACCAAGCTTGTCATCGAAGAGTTCCATCGACAATATATTCTGCAGTATGGCCAACCGAAAACCATTGTGAGTGATCGGGACACCCGATTCATTAGTAAAGATTGGAAGGACTTCACTTCTCAGATGTACGACATTAAACTCAACAATACTTTTAGTCGACACCCCGAAGCCAATGGACTGGCTGAGGAGATCAACCAGACTGTCATCGAACTACTTCGCGCGTTGATTGTTCCAGATTAGAACTTGTGGGACAAGGAGTTGCACAAAGTGAAGGGACTGTACAACAACTCCATTCACTCTGCAACTGGTGTGACACCAAACCAGTTGCAATACCGATGGCCGATGCGTAATCCCCTCTCCTATCTGTTGCCCAAACGGTCAGCTGGTCTGATGCCCGACATGCCTGGCTACAATGCCAAGTACGCACGCTTGCTCAAAGCTGTTATACAGCCATGAACAAGCGTCAGCATGCCATGATCAAACATTCTAACAAGTCGCGTAAAGAAAGGACCTTCGAAGTAGGAAGTTATGTCTGGGTGAAAATGTCTGAGTTTTCTGATGAAGAAGGCGTATCACGGAAACTCCTTCCATTGTACTATGGCCCTTGGCAGGTTTTGAAAGTGATTGGGGATGCTTTTGGTCCTTCACATGTAATTGACGTGCCTCCTCATCTGCGCACGTATCCGGTCTTTCACACGTCCAAACTGTTCCCACACATTGATGATGAGACTTTTCCCTTCCGAGACCCTATGATACCTCGCTCTATCGACGGCGACCATGAGATAGACAAAATCGTTTCTCACGAGGGAAGAGGGAGGAACAGACAGTACAAGGTTCACTTCCTCTATCACCCGTTGACTGAATTCTTCTGGATCGACCGAAAAGATTTGCTACAGAATGCTCCCTGTGTTGTGAACGCTTATGAACGACAGATTGCTGAGGGACAGACTGCTAAGCTTCTCGCAAAAATGACTCCTCACGGACTTACTAAGTCTCTCTTTCTGATTTACTCCTACGATGCATTTTGTGCCAACTCTGAACGAGTTACTCGCTCGAAGGGACCTCGCTCTTGAGAGGGGGGTAGTGTAATGATTTCTGGGATTTGCCACTGGAATGAATGCCTTGTTCAGAGCGAGGTCCCTTCGAGCGAGTAACTCGTGATTCCCACTGGCAAATCCCAGAAATCAGCAGAATGCGGGAATCAGCAGAATGTGTATTCCACTGGCAAATCCCAGAAATCAGCAGTGCTCGGGGATTTGCCACTGGAATGAATGCCTTGCTGTGATTCCCGCATTCTGCTGTGGTTTCCAAGTCTGTGTGTGTGCGTGCCTGCTGGTTTTCATGCCTGTCTGAGTGCTGGCCGATTGAGTGTGTGTGTGACCCGCAAGGGTACTTGTTGGTTGCAAGGCCCCGCAAGGCCGGTACTTACCTGTGGCCGTGACTTTGAGGGTTGCAGGGGGGTAAAACACTCAAGTAGCGGGGCTAGGCCTGCGACACTTAGAGCAGGGGGGAAAACACTCGAGTAGCAGGTAGGTCGGTACCACTCGAGTAGTGGTATGAGTGTCGGGTACTGGAAGCCGAGCAGAAGAAGGTTGGCATTTTTAGAGGCCCAGTAGCAGTAGGATAGAGGTAGGCCGGTACCAGTCCAAGTAGCCCGGGTCTAGGGCCTGTCCGAAGGTTAGCAGAGCCTGCAATGATGTTTCCCTCCGAAAGGGAGGAGGTACCGGTTGCTGGGAGGCCGCTTGGCCTAGGAAGTCACCGCCCAGGAGGCCAGTAGAACGCTATATCTTTTGGAGGAGCAAGTAGCTCCTCCTCATTTGCGGTATGCAAGGATTGGCGACATGCTGCTGGAGCACAGCGTTGGCTGGAACAGCGCTGCTTGGAGGTGAAGGGCCGCTGGAGCTCAGCCTGGCTATGGCGAGCGGTCCAGCTTGAGGAGGAGGAAGAAGGGGGCGAGGTAGGAGAGCGGCGAGGCACCTACCTGGCTATGGTGGACACCGTCTTCAACACCTTGTTAGGCGCTGCATCTGGAAGGCCCCAGTGGGGGTAGTGCTGCACCAAGGAAGCTCTAGGCAGAGTCAGGCATGGCGGACCAGCCAGCAGCGGCATAGCTGCTTTGGGTTATCTTTTGGACATCAGCGCAGCACCATAGCTGCTTTGGGTTGTCCTTTGGACATCAGCACAGCACCATAGCTGCTTTGGGTTGTCCTTTGGACATCAGCGCAGCACCATAGCTGCTTCATTAGTCCTCCATGGCCTATGCATGAGAGAGGAGGCTGAAGGAGCGAAGCCATAGCTATGGTGGACTAGTTGTTTGTTGTTGTTGTTGAGTTGAGTCAGCAGTAAAAGGGAACTTCGGATATTGATTCTGGTTCATCCATTCATTGTTATTATTATTATTGAGAGAAGAATAAGATTGGCAAAGTGAAGGAGGAGGAGGAAGGAAGAGAGAGAAGGGGGAATTGTCATTGGTCTTGCTCGTGCATATCTTCTTCTTCTTCTTCTTCTTCTTCTTCATTCTCTCTCCTCTGGTCTTTATCTCTTTGCAAGTGCTTTCATTTCTTTCGCAATTGGGTGGCATTGTCTTTCATTGTGAATTTGCACTTGGGAAATGACCAGGATCGTAACACCCCTCTCTCTCTCTTTTTTCCCCCCCCCGCTCTCTCTCTCTCTCTCTCGAGCGCGCGCGCGCGCGCGCTTGCCCTTGAAGATGACTGGATTTTTCGGCGCCAGTCGAAACATGTCGGGATTTTGCCGATATGTGCTCCTCCATTGCTCAGGATAGCGGAGCCGATGTTGCGGCATCAACTCCTCGCCTGATTGGAGTGGCACTCAGAGTTTCATGTATACTTCATTTCGTTAATCGCTTGGGCTTCAAGGACTTCATCGTGCTCGGATTTTATCTTTCTCCACATATCTCTTTCTCTCCCTCTCCTTTTCCCTCTCTCTCCCTCTCTCTCTCTCTCTCTCTCTCTTTCTTTGTCTCTTTTTTTCTTTCTCCCTCTCATTGATTTTTATTATTCTTCTTATTGTGCTTACAATGGAATGGCTAAGAATTCTCTTGTGGATTCTTCATTGCTTGATTTTTTGGTTGCGTGTTCTTCGCATCTTCGCTGAGATCTCATATGGTACACTTAGATATGTTGTAGCTAAGTGTAAACGGGATGAAGCCAACAGACGAGGAAGACAACACCACCGATATTTTTCTTCTTAAATGCCCTCACATTTATGCTCCTTCCTTTTCGGGTATTGATTTCTTTCTCCTTCATAATATAAATGTTCTCATCGTCCAAATTTGCTAAGCTTGCGACTTCGGTTGCTATGCTATAAGCTCATACCCCTCCAAATCCCCCCCCGTCGGCAGCCAACTTGCAAAAAAAGAAATGAGCCCGAATTTGGGGTCCCCTGGGAGAGCATAGAAAACCTCCTAGCCCGTCATTTTCGTCTTTTTACTTGTCTTCCCTTTTTTCTTTGTGGCTGTCACTTCACATCACTAGTTGGCAACAAGAACTTGAAAATAGAATGCATTCAATCAAACTTGAGCATGTCGATGTGAAGTATACAATTAAAACAGATAACACTATATAACTCGTATTAAAATTTAAAACACAACTGAAGCAATATTCCTTTCACTTTCAAGAAAGCACACAAACTTTCAAGTTTCAACACAGTGGGACACACGGAAGTCAATTTTGCTCTGGGACAAACCGACAAAGTTTGCATTTAAGAAGGAAATAAGATTGCTGCGTTTGCGAGCTAAAACACTTCAGACAATGTTGGGATATGTGTAAGGAAAAATCATCAGAGGGTGGAAAAAATCACTCAGGATTACTGTGTTTGCAAGCTAAAACACTTAGGATACTGTGGGGATATGCGTAAGGAAAAATCGAAGGGTTTGCAAGAGCACTCAGGCAAATGCTTAAGTACCTCTTTGAAGTTGAATCAATTTCTGTGCCATGACTTCAATATCCTTCAGCCGTCCTTCCCGTGGTGCCCTGACTGCCTTTCCCGCCATTTGCCACTTCTGTTGGGCATTCAGAGTGGTCGCCATCTTCACCCTTTACCTGTCTCCACTGTTCGCTCCCCTTTGCCCCCCTACTCAAAACCTCACACTTTGCCCTTCTCTCTCTCTGTCTCTCTCTCTCTCTCTCTCTCTCTCTCTCTCTCTCTCTCTCTCTCTGTGTGTGTGTGTGTGTGTGTGGATATGTATGTATCCTTGTTACATATGCCTATCTTCAACTTCTACTCTGTATGTCTATTGATTTATGGACACATTATGTACATATCTATTTCTTGAACTGAATTTATCTATAATGATTCTATATATCTGAACACCTATTTGTCTATGTAACTCAGCCTGTGCAGCCTGTGCTAATATACAAAACTTGGCTCCTTAAGGGTCTCGCCCTTACGAATGCAAGGCTACAATATTTCCTAGATATCACCTAGGGGCCTGATGTTACACTTCAAGGCGGACACTAGGACTTTCCTCTACGCTTCCACACATCTTTCGTGAAAGATGAAACCTACCCTCCCGTCCCGGTATGAAAATCCGCAGTATGGCAATAGAGAAAGGCACAGTATTGCTAATCTACCAACTCCACAGAGCAAGTTCATAATAAGACTACAAGTATTCACAGACCTAAGAACAAAATTATCTGGCATACTAGAATCTAGCCACCCCACTAACCCGAATACCGAATGTAGCCGCCTGAATTGACAAACACTAGTTCGCCAACCTTGTAACAATTCACACACCTCTTGCGTCGATGGGAACTGAATCAAAACGCGACAAAGTTTAGCTACCACATGGCACTGTGAGAAACCTTAATGCTCATGAAGTACAGCTGAAGTCCAAGGTTGGATAGTATAATGTAATCGACAACTCCACATGGTGTGTGCCTGCAGAACACCACAAGCAAAGAAAAACGAAAAAATGAGTTTAAACTTTAAAAGCTGCTCAAACAAGCAAAGAAAAACAAAAATTGAGTTGAAAAACTGCTCAAACAAGCAAAGAAAAACAAAAATTGAGTTTAAAAGCTGCTCAAACAAGACAGTACAAATTTACAAAATGATTAGAAAGAACAAGTTTCCACATAGTTAAGGTTAGAATCCACTCGGGCTATCATTGATATATCTGACAGCAATTACAGCGGCACCTTAGTGTATCTGACCGCAATTCAGAGCTGAGTCGAGAAAGTCCTATTGTCTTCACCCGAATAGAACGCCCGGTCATTATCGCTGCATCTGGACCGAAAGTTGTGCGAAATACAGCTATGATGACGGGGCGTTCTATTCAGGTGAAGACGGTAGTGAGTATGGTCTAAGACAACCTCATTTCCATGTAGCACTCTCTTCCTGTCTGCTAACCCTCTGTCCTGCTTTCCCGTCCATTCTTCCCTCCACTCCAACTTGCCAGGTGGCATGCCCTTATCTCTTTTTTAATTTTTATAACTAAGCTAGATTGTTCTCTCGAGTATCCCCCACAATACGTACCCACATCCACGTAGCCAGGGCTACATCTACGAAGCAAGGGCCAGCCAGAGCTGCATCTAGTACCAAGAAGGGGCAACCAAGGCCTACCGGCCCATACAAACTAACCCCCAGCTACGACTGGCAGGGGTGAAGGCCTCCGGGAGAACCCGGGACCCTACCAAGACCAACTAGGGAGGGCAAGCCAACCATCTCGGCTGGCACATTCTCTCCCACTCCCAAGTTTTAACCCTCCACTGCATTCTCAGAGACACCAGCACACTTCCTGACATCCATTCAAATTAGAATGATACAGAGAGGATTAGCATAGCCCCTGCAAAAGGGTTGGACATGCATAAATCGAAAAATGGTCCCAATTTCAAAAAAGAAGAGAGAGAGAGAGAGAGAGAGAGAGAGAGAGAGAGAGAGAGAGAGAG